GAAAATGAAGTTATAGTCAGTCGGGGAGTGCAGTTGTAGAGAAGGACAGCATTATTTGTCAAGAAGTATCAGAGCTTTTAGTTGGACGGTGGCAGCTCAATACATTTGACGCTACCCCCTCCCCCCTTTGTATGCATAGATGCTTTTAAGCTTTGGGTAACTCCTTCATGATTTTGCCATTACGATAATTTGTTCATTTTTTGACATTATGCACTAATTAGTTTACAGCCAATGCTCTTTTTCTTTCATGTTTTATATGATATGATTTTCTTACTGCAGTTAATTTTAGGTGGAGAAGAAACTTTCCCAGATGATCCTCGACAAGAAATTCAGCGGTTCATTGCATCAAGGCGACGGAATGCTGATCGTTTATGACGTCTCATCACCGGATGCAACCTACGAAACGGCATTGAAAACAATTCATGCTATGGGTGAGGTGGTTGACGCTTTGTACCAACGAGCCGGCAAGATTCGATAGATATGACTCGTTCTTACTCCTATTTTATTTTTTGACCTACCCGTTTTCTCGAATCTTTTCCCAAGCAGAATGTGAAATCGCCTGCCTAGTGATTGAATTTTGTTTGAAACCTCAATCTCTCGTCAATATTGTAATATATACTTGGAAATGTTCTCTTCACTGACGGATGGTCAGCGTGGTGTGTTTTTAGTTTTTGTTACATACATATGTGTGATTTTCTCGCTTTTTCCCACTTCTTACTTTTATTTTACTAAACGTAATGCTGTATTCGTGTAATATGTGCACGCAAGTGCATTCTGGGTGATCCACTTAGATTCCTTCGAGTATCCTTTGAGTTCAATTTTTTCTCTTTCAACAATTTTTTCGTTTTAATTTAATGATGAATTGGAAACTTAGGAGTTCAGTCGGTGTGAATTCTACATATTTGTCGTTACTCTATTTGATCAAATACAAGTCAATAAATTTTGATGATCTGGAAAGTTGGCAGTGTCTGTTTAGGGTATGTTTGTTCATTCTGGATACCTGAACTTAGGCTAGGTGTAGAAAGCGAGAACCTTCCGTTTATTGGAATTGTTACTCAGCTTACCATTTACGGAAGTGTTATAACTCAAAGTAACTGATTAATTTCGAATCTAGTCGTTATCAAGTTTAACTTTTTTGCTCATTACAACAGAGCTTTTCTGTCTATCAAAATTTTTGATTATCAGGCATTTACATCTATTTTTGGGGTTAGCGACTTTGCATGGGAATTCCGCGGCATCTGCTGGCACTATGATATTTCTCAAACAAGTTTCTAATGTCGATTCTGTCATGAATACATCAAGTGTTCTTCTGACAAAGAATTTATACAACCAAATATTCAAATTTGTGAAAGATTCCGCCGCGTTGGAGTTCCATCTTGCTTTCGTTCTGTGAATCAAGACGTATCACCCGATTACATGTGACCAGATGTGTGCATTTCGAACTGAATGTGCCATCACTTCACTTTATGAGTCCTAGACAATCGATCAATAGTAGCAATTGGATTTGCTGTGATTTTTGCTGTTCATTTTTCTGCTGCTTCTTTTTGTTCGCCCTGCATCCATCAAGACAACTCAAATCGGGGTCAGATCTGAGAATTTGATGCAAATATTGCTAGTCTCTGAGGATCTCAAAGACACTCAGTCTTTGTTTGTTTGAAATTTTCTTAAGAAAATCACTTGACTATGTAACTAGCTTTCTTTTTTTCCCAGTTCCAGATTGCGAAAGCAAGCTAGTTCATGGTATGCTCCATTTGAGCAAATCAGTTGCGAAACTGCAATTTTATCTATCTAGTCATAAGATGTTGAGATAAATAATGCTATAAATAATGGCAGTATGTTTTTCGTTGTCTCAGATCTCAGAAAGCGCTATTTTCCCATTTATTTCTGCGTATTGTCGATTCAAGACGAACTTTGCGCTGTACTATGAATCATTTTGCTGCTTTGTCTCGCAGCGGTAAGCAGTGTTACTAAGCAAATGCTCGTTCAACCGAGATCCAATTTTTTGGCTTGTTGATCAATACGATCTTTAGGTGACTGTTCAGCGGTTAGTCATTCCAGCTTACCAGGTTCGATTACGGTATTCTGCTTTTCTCCTTGATTTACATAAATCGAAAACATTTTCTGGAATTGAATTTTCTGGAATTGATTGTGCAAATTGTTTGTGAAATTTTCACTAGTTTACGACATTTGTTTGGTGCACTAACGACTCTGTTTTGCAAAAAACATCGTTCGACTGCAAGTCAACAAAAGCATTCTGGTTAACATTCTGTCTAGGTGTGCATCTTGTAACTTATTTTATTCATTTTTCGTTCGATAGTGAAACGATAAGTAGTATTCGTATTCCTTTTGTTTTCTCGTGAATTCTTGGAATTTTTGCAATTAATTTTTACAAATCGACTATTGAAGCTGTCGTTTTGGTACCTTGTAATTGTGGTATGATATCTGGTTCCTGGTTTTTT